TACCTCACCCATCGTGGAAAATCCATTATGTAAAGAGCACAGTGCTCAGGGCAAAGGAGGGCACCAACAGGCTGAATCAGCAAGGCCCCTGCCCTCAGAGAATTCCAAGTGGGGAAGGAAAATAATGCATGGAATTTACTTCTGGAACAAAGTGATACTGGAACAAAGGACCAAAGTCACTTACAAAAGAGTGAAGGAATTAAAGAGTTTGTATTGAGCTGATTTTGAAGAACAAGCATTTGGAAAAGCAATAAAGGGGGAGGCAGGGTAACAGAAATGGAGTGAATAATAAGATATAATGGAGGAAAGACAAAGGTACACTCAATGAATGAAAGGGGTTCTCAAATGGGTAGACAGAGGTGAGAGGTGGGGATGAAGGGGTAGGTTACCAGCAGAGCATATTTCTTTCAAAGACACATATATAAACACACATACCCAGATATACACACACGTATATATTGTGTAATAGGTACATATGTGTATATGTACCTACATATCTGCTTGTGTAAATTTTATACCATTTCAGCCCATAAATTACTTAAAAGAGTTCAGCTTTATCTGAATCCACTGTCAGATTATCCTCAGTAGTCACAGAAGCATCCTGCACCCTGCTTTATTCATAGAGGAAATGGAGTTGTTCATGGGTTTGAATGGCAAGGGCAGCTAGTCTCCAAAGACGTCTCAACAGATGTAGCAAGACTAGTAGGCTGGAGATGCCAGAGGAGCCACTCAACAAACATCAGCTGAAGAAGTTTCAGGAAGAAGCTGCTGCACATTTCTAAAGACTTTAGGAATATGGCTCTTTGAATTCTCGTGGCTGGTAGGTCAGTTTACTGTCATGTCACCAACTCTGAACCTGCAGTTTCTATCAGTGCCTTCAAGAAGGGCACCTCAAGCACAGAGGTGAACAGTGACCTGGCTGAACAGCCTGGTAGCAAAAGGCCCAGTCCCGGAGGCAAAAAGAGGTAGACTTCATCAGCAAGTTTCATCTGTGCCTAGATGTTATGCCCAGGAACACAGCACACAGCAGCGCATAATCAAGTATTGAATCACTCTGCTTGTGCACATGGGGGTTCAAGCTGCCAGGATAGCATGGCCCCCTGTACTGGTTTCCTTCGGTGGGGGCAAGATTTCTAACCCAAGAACATCTCAGCCAGTGACCAAGCTTTGAGCATGTGTTTTTTGTACATGTCATCAATAACTAGATCTGAGCTGGAGGGCACTCTAAACATGAAATACATTTCTGCAACATGAAAAGAAAAAAGACTATTTGGGGCTGGTTTGAATTAGGTAGAATGAGACAGGAATTTTCCCGAAGACTCCTCGTTTTTTTGGGCAGCTTACTCACTGCCTGGCAGAAACAAGACACAGGGGACTTTAGTCTATGACCCACAGCCTAGCTGGGGGACCACTGAATCTGAATGCTGGTGGTAAGCAGACACCATAAGGGCTGCTGAGGATGACTTTAAATAAAATTATATACCTCCATGACTCAAGAATCTGACTGTCTACTAGCATTCTGCCTAGCAAGCCCTGCGGTCTGTGATCAATGGCAGTGCGAGTCCCCGATGTGCTGTCACCATGGAAAGGTACAATTATTCCTTTAAAGCTCAATGTGCAATTAAATATCTGTAATGGTGCTAACAGTTCAAGCAACCTTCAAGCAGCTGCCACATTTTAAAAGATCATTCTGAACTGTTCTACGTCGGAAACTGCTCTGCAAAATCTGAACTTTTCCTCTTCCATTGAGAATGAATTTGATGCTGACAGGATGGTTCCCTTACAGCCACACTGTACAAAAGGTGGTTTCCTTCTCAGCTGGCAGGACGCCTCTGGAGGATTAAACTCCACCTAACAAAGCTAAGCTCAATTCTCTAAGGCTTGCATTCTTAGGAATTTGCTCTCTGAGGAAGAGTCCAAAGTGAAGATTAGGTCACAGGATACAGTTCAATCCACAGCCCACTGAAGGCTACTTGGACTGACATCATTTTCTGTGAGAAAGAATGAAGACAAATGTGTGGCTGCTCACAGGAACAAACGGTCAGGCCCCCTCTTCAGAGCTCCCACTGTCCCGGGCTTTTAGTAACTGTGGCCAGCAGATGACACACAGTATTCTATGATCTCTTTACCTGTCTGGTCCCTAAGTTCACTGTGAACCTCTCAAGGAAGCGGCTGCATCTGGTTCACCACAGGGGCTCAATTAACCATCAGAATAATTAATGGGACTTCCCTGGTGTCACAGCGGATAAGAATTTGCCTGCCAGTGCAAGGGACAGGGTTAGATCCCTGGTCTGGGAGGATTCCAAGTGCCATGCAGAAACTAAACCCATGAACCACAACTACTGAGCCCCTGTGTCACAGCTACTGAAGCCTGTGCGCCCTGGAGCCTATGTTCCTCAACAAGAGAAGCCACCACAATGAGGAGCCCATGCACTGCAACGAAGAGTAGGCCCTGCTCTCTGCAACTACAGAAAGCCCATGCATAGCAACAAAGACTCAGAGCGATAAAAAATAATAATAAATAAACAAATAAATACTTTAAAAAATTAATGGACAGGGTACTGCTTCACAGAACATCAAGGATGGATAACAGGTCAACTAGGAAAGGGAGATATTAGATATCCAATCTCAAATGACAGGCATGAGAAGAATGCTTCAGAGATGGTGAGTGGGAAGTTCTTTAATCATTGACCACATTCTTTAAACAGTAACCTAAAACAATTTAGAAATGTATATTCATCTTATTTCCCAATAATAATGATGACAATTAAGATGCACTAGGCACTTTCTATGAGCAACCGTTGAGCTGAGACTGTTTAGGCATCATTTCATATTCTCACAATAACCCCCCAAAGGAGGCAGTACACTTAGCCCTATTTTACAAAAAGGGAAACTGAGGCTCAGGGAGGCAAAGTTGCTTGCTGAGGATCACAGAGCCAGCAAGAGAAAGAGCAGGATCCAAGCCTTCTCCTGACCACTGCATTCCTGAGATACTGAAACCAGATCCCAATATTTCTGAAACATCAATGGGACATAACAGTAGATTTTTACTTTAAAAATGCCATGTCTTCCTGATTTATTTTGGGGTGAAGACAGTTCTTTGCTTAGGCTCCTCCTTGGTATGACAAAGCAGAGCAAACTCCTACTCAGTAAAGGTGAAGAAGAGAAGGGTGATATCCTCCCTCAGTTAACCCCTTTGGACACATCATGTGTTTCATCCCATGATGTAGACACAGTTATTGTCCATATCCTAGATACAAGAAAACTAAGCTCTAAAGAAAGGAAGTGGTCTCAGCCTTTCAAGATCACATCCAGTAAGAAGTGGAACTCAGGGTCTAACCAGAGGTCCTCTGTTGCCAAAGCCCAATCCTTGGCTACTATTATCCCAGTTCAAAGGGGCAGATGGTAATTTGGGGAAAAGAACTCTAGAATCTATGAAAAAACTGGATTTGAGGAACACAAGCCAGAAAACATGGAGCTTCATTAAGATTCATCCTGCTTTGTACTCTAAGTGAAAGTCACTCAATCACGTCCAATTCTTTGCGTACCCATAGACTGTATAGTCCATGGAACTCTCCAGGCCAGAATCTTGGAGTGGGCAGCCATTCCCTTCTCCAGGGGATCTCCTCAACCCAGGGATTGAAGCCAGGTCTCCTGCATTGCAGGCGGATTCTTTACCAACTGAGTCACCAGGGAAGCCTAAGAATACTGGAGTGGGTAGCCTATCCCTTCTCCAGGGGATCCTCCTGACCCAGGAATCGAACCAGGGTGTCCAGCATTGCAGGCAAACGACAACTAATTCCATGGTAATACCAGGAGCTCCAGAACCCTCAAAACCATCATAAGGAAGGGAGGAAGAAGAGAAAAGGCTCTGTACACTAGAGACTGCAGGTCCAATGTAGCTAACTGTTTCTGTAGCTTAAATGTTTTCTGAGAACACAGTCAATTTATATATTATCTACTGATTTACATATTATCTATGGTTGCTTTTGTGCCAGAACAGCAGAGCTGAGTAGTTGCAACAGAGGCTTTAAGGCCTGTAAAGTCTAAGGAATTATTAAATATCTGGCCCTTTAAAGAAAAGTTTGCATATAGGGTTATCGTTACCATCTTTCTAAATTCCGTATATATGTGTTAGTATACTGTAATGGTCTTTATCTTTCTGGCTTACTTTGCTCTGTATAATGGGCTCCAGTTTCATCCATCTCATTAGAACTGATTCAAATGAATTCTTTTTAATGGCTGTGTAATATTCCATGGTGTATATGTACCACATGTTCCTTATCCATTCGTCTGCTGATGGGCATCTAGGTTGCTTCCATGACCTGGCTATTATAAACAGTGCTGCAATGAACATTGGGGTGCACATGTCTCTTTCAGATCTGGTTTCCTTGGTGTGTATGCCCAGAAGTGGGATTGCTGGGTCATATGGCAGAAAAAGAGACTCAGATGTATAGAACAGACTTACTGTTTTCCATAGTGGCTGTACTAATTTGCATTCCCACCAACAGTGTAAGAGGGTTCCCTTTTCTCCACACCCTCTCCAGCATTTATTGCTTGTAGACTTTTGGATAGCAG